CCATCGCCGTCGCAAGAGGAAAATCAGGAACGGACGGATAGACGGTTGCGAAGCGAAAGCGATTTTTCATCGATGCGATTTTCAACGAGCATCATCATCGGTTCCGGTGTGCGCATAGCAGAAGAAAGCAAGCAGTCAAGGAAAGGGGGCTACACGAACATCGAGAGACACCCAGCCGGGTGTTTCGTAGCAGGCCTCCTCTTCTCCGAGGATTTGCCTCCGTATCTCTTTTTAGCGTACACTCGCGAATGGAAAATGAGAATGTTAGCCTCCCTTCTGCGATGAACCGCGCGCGTGCGATGTTCTCCGTTCTCTCGCCGCTCGTGCAATTATTCCTTGCTCTTTTTCTTTCTATCTCTCTGTATATCTCTCTCTCCTATTTATCTTATCTCCTTACCTTCGCTCAGTCTCCGTCTCTCGCAATTCCTCGCTCTTCTCCTCTTCCCAACATCCGTGAACCTGTACACTACACTATCCGCGTGTTTCTCGCGAATTAATCGACCCAATGTACATACGCGCGCGCGCATGTACGTACGTATCAACGACGAGCGGAACGGTGGCGATATATCTTATAGGTAGATTCGTTTACACACGTCGAGATGTTCATGTATAAGGAAGAACGACTTCCCCTGTCTTCATTGGGTACCATTTCTCTCGTGTCATTTCTTTCCCCGGTGTGGGAAAGCGATGAGAGACGGAACGAACGACTCGCGCGCGGTTACATCTATATTAATGAGAGGAATCGCATAGACAGTGTGAAAGAGAGAGAATGAGAGGGAGAGAAAGAGAAAGAGAGAACGGACGAGCGGTCTCCGCCAAAGAAACAAAGAAGGCAGCTGGCCTGTCGTCACGGCGGAGCTTCCGGTTTTAGGATTTTACTAGGTTCTTAAGATGTGTCCGCCCTGGGTGACGCGCGTAAGGGCATCCCCCGCGCCACGGGGTGGGGTTACTTAAACCTTAAGTCGAGCTAAGCTTAGGGTTAAGTCGTAAATATATATATATGATACCGAAAAATTTATTTAATATACATAAATATTATAAATATTATATATTATATATTATTATTAATTATTAATTATTATTATCATTATTATTAATTATTCATTATGTAATCCGAATACCGTGTTTTTCGCTGCCGCGCGTGCACACGTCCGTCACGATCACACGAAATAATTAACGCGCGAAAGAACTACATGTCGAGCGCGCGCATCGTTTCCAAGTACAGTCATTACAAACGCAATCTATCTTGGCCGTTCTGCTCCGAGGATTCATTCAACCATCTCGTTCGTGCGATATCGAAGAAAATATCTCGTTTTCGTTGTATCCCCATTTCACGGAACTGTGCACGGCCATGATCTTATACACAAGATGTTTGTTATCTGTTAAGTTATCGAGGTGAATCTTGCCCATTATATAACGATTATATCAGGTCCAGCTGGTCTCAATAATAACTATCGTTTTTCGTTAAAAGCTATCGGTTATAATATCACGCAAGAATCTCGCTCGTATTACGCAACATAGGCATCAGGCTGGAATGTATCTTCTTATATGTGATCTCCATGAACTTCCGTTTTGTCATATATTTTGTGATATCGTAGAGTAAATTCTAGGACTACATATGTCGAAAACGAGGTAATTTTAAATAATAGTACTTTTCTTAACGAGACATTAAGAAAAGGCTTAATCCCGCATGAACGAGAATTCCAAAATACGTATATGTATGTATATATACATATATACATATTTTATCAGTGAATTATGACACGCTCGTTTAGACATGTTATGCATATCTTTTGCCCCAATTAGTCGCACAGGTTCGCTAGAAAGAGCTATACAAATTGAAACGATTACAGGCACGTCTGATGAGGGGCCGTAATGTGCGTGAGCTCCGCTAATGGATTCAAAATTAAAATCCGAGAGTAGATCATAATGGTGAAGAAACGCGCAAGCTAGTAAGAATTAAAGAAAGAAAAGACGATGCATTTTGAAAAGAAAGCAGCACCTTGCGTGCAAGAGCATTAATATTATCTTAATCGTGTGCTCGTGCTCGTGCTCTGAAAATATAGAGTTCTGCTTGTACCTGGCACCGGAAGTGAATCCTTGCCGTCAATTTTACGACAGCGGTACAGAACGGCCAAGGATCAGGCAAAACTCGAGAACCGTAATCGCGAAATGACGACGTGCCGTAAATGATTTCGTGATGAAAATGATATATTACATTTTTGCGAGTTACTTATTTCGAGGGGTGGATTCTAACGGGGAGTTATAATCGTTAGAGAATTATGAACGTTTCTTCATGTGAGAAACGAACGCGATCGTTGAGACGCTTCCGCTTCGATCGTCCGCGCTGTCACGCGCTCAATACGCTTTGTCGCACGTGACGTCCCGAAGATAATCAGAATCGAGGACGGCTACTCTCGTCTCTCGTCTGTAATATTTATAGTAATAATCGCTCGCGGTCGTATCGCGGGATTTTGTCGTCGTTTTCGCTGTTTTTTCTACCTCTTCTCTAGAAATCGAGACGTCGCGCTTTAGCGAGCTTCGCGAGCTGAATTAGCGTCGGCGAGCAGCGCGGGGGATCGCAAGCCTAATCATATCGGGTACCGGGAAGGAGGAGAAGTATAAATGAGAGATTCGAAGCAAAGAGTATCTCTGGAAGCCGAATGGCGGCATCGTCAACGTGTTACGGTCTGAAACATAATAAAAGTAATGAAAGAATATTATATAATAAATGAAATAAGATATATATCTCTTTCTTCTCACTACGATATAAAATATACAGTGAATGATAATTCTATCTCTCTTTGCTACCAAGTTGTACTTATTCTTAATTAATTTACTTGTACAAAAGAATGTGTTAAATAATAATGAAATATATAATATAATATACAAACACAATTATAAATAATACATATTATAATTATAAATATATAAATACATATAAATATACATATATATAAAAAAAGGAACACTACGATATATACAGGATGTCTCAGAACTATCGTCAATCATTCTATGGATTCCTTCACCGATTTTTTCCTTGAATGTATAAATTTACAAGTATCATTGATTTCTCACAATATAATTTTCGAAACCGAATAAGACTCTCAAAACAAAATTTTCAAGATTCGCTTATAGTATTCGAAAGTATCGATTTCATTTCTATCGAAGAATCGATTTCAAATCGATCAAAGAATTCCCGGATGAAAGAAGCTGTCACAATTCCGGGATATCCTGTATACACACGTGTATACATATACATTACAGTGTTGGTTATCTGATATTACTGCATAATTATGATTACGACGCGATTATTATTCATTTGAATTATAAACTTATTATTGCCATTGTCACTGCTGTCGCCGTTGAAATCATCGCTACACCGTTATCACTTGTACTATCGCTATCGCGAAACACGAGGCGCATACGCGTTCGGCGCTATAGTGATTTTCAAAATGATACGACACGCGGGTCAAATTAATAAACATGCATACGCTATATATACATATACAATTGCGATCGTTGCTTGCGCTACGATACGACGAGGGTGACACGATAATGATGATTCAGAACGCGATTGAAGTCGCTCCCGTCTATCCTTTGATTGTAGAAGCGATTCGTTCTACGAATGCCAGGAGAGTAATAAACGTGAGTGTGAACGCGAAGAATGAATTAAAGGACTTCCCTTTCGCATGCACGAACCTTCACGGACCATCCACCTTTCGGATAACAGTCTTGACTTGTGCCTTGTTTAGACGTTTCCAATCATTTTCAATCGACTCGCGCTTCGATTCGCACATCCTACACTCAAATAAACTCACCCCCAACGTTGTTCTTTTACGAGAGAAATATTTGATAAATCCAATGCGATCGCGCGCGTCTCCGCCGTCGTCCTTTCTTTCAAAGAAATGATCTTCCTCGGTGACTTCTTGTAGACGAAGAAATTGATTCCTCGTGCTTTCTCAATGGCGTGATATAATCTTAGAAAATTGTCTCTATCAAATTAATTAATTTTACCCTGAGAGCCGCGATATTATTTCAAATTGATCTATCTTTGAACGACTTGGGTATGCAGACATCCTATTGATTCGTTTGAGAATATAGTACCGTGCCGACACTATATACATTTTATATCCTTCCATAGATATAATACATGCAACACTTATCAGTATATGCGTAAAACGCGAGTTTTGAATTACTCTTTATATCATATATACATCAAAGTGAGAAAAATAATATATAACATACTAATACATGCGTTTTATATATGTACAGTGTTTCGCGACAAACTATAAGCTTGAACTGGAAACTATGTAGGTAAGATTCACAAAAATATTATTTAGGCACCAAAATTCGCTTTTGCCTTTAATCTACTTTTAAAACTGGTATCTTAATTATTTCCATTTAAAAAATAGATTCTTCTAGAGTTTTAATTTGTGACTCTCAGTCATTGGGCTATCTTTAAAAGTGAAAGTAATAAGAAAAAGATGTCTAAATTATTATTAAGGAAAAATTGGCTTCCCAAGTTCCTCAAAGAGCCTGTTGATACACGCATAATATAATTTATCATGTAATCGCGCAACCCTCTGCATATACAAGCACGCATAATTAGATATTATACACGCAAAGCCTGTATTTTCTGCGTTAGCCTCATTTCATCCTACATCACACACACACACACACACACAGACACACACAGACATTTGTGATAAGTAAACCGTTTAAGCGGTTGTTTCATTATCGTAACAGAATCGTTTAACTGCGAAAGCGTCTTTCAGGGGAGAAATTCGCGCTTCTGTGCAACTGAGCGTGATCTTCTGTAATAGTCCTTGTTTTTTCTTCTTTTTTTTGTAAGCGACTGAACTATCGTGCTGTGTATGATTCTTCGTGGCTACGTTGCGTTCCCTACGCAAACTCGATAACGTACTCTCATTACATATCCCTTG